CATACATACATACATACATACATACATACACACCAGATATAGCTTCCTTTGTAAAACTTCTGGAAGATGTTAAATTTTTTTTTAACTAGCATCAAATACTCATCTATCTTTTTTTGCTAAAGCCTGAAGTATAATATATTTAAAACCTGCATATATTACTTTCAATAATTTATGCAATCTCTCTTTATATATATATATGTATTTTTATTTCAGGTCACGTTTCTCTGTTTTGCTAATGACACTGCTATTCCAACTAAGGTATGGTTTTCTTTGAGTCAGAAGATATATCAAAAAGACATGCTTCGTAATTAAATTAACAGATTCTATCTACATTCCAGTACAGGCAGTCCTTGACTTATGGCCACAATTGAAACCAAATTTCTGTTCCCATGACACTGTAACCGTCATAAGTAGGAAGCGGTTTCCAAGCATCTGAATTTTGATTACGTGACCATGGGGATTCTGATACGATCATAAGTGTGAAAATGGTCATAAGTTTCTTTTTTGAGTACCGTTGTTAAGTGAATCTGGCTTCCCTGTTGACTTGGCTTGTAGGAAGGTCACAAAAGGGAATCACATATGCAACTGTCATAAGTACATGCCAGTTGCCAAGCAGCCAAATTTTGATCATGTGACGATGAGGATGCTACAACCATCATACGGGTGAAAAGTGGCCGTAAGTCTCTTCTCAGTGCCATTGTAACTTCAAATAGTCATTAAATGAATGGTTGAAAGTCGAGCAAAGTCGAGTTTCAAGGTAATCCTATTCCACTGCTGGAATGAATGGCCTGGGAATAGCCCAGACCTTCACCCAATTGAAAATCTATGGAGCCCACTAAAGAAACTGGTTAGTCAGAAGCGACCCAGCAATAAAACCCAATTAATAGAAGCCATCATTCAATCTTGGTTTCACATTATTATAACAGCTGCAGAACTCAAAGACTTGGTTCACTCCATGGGAAGACGTTGTAAGGCCGTCATTTATGCTAAAGGTTACCCAACTAAGTATTAACTGACAGGGTGATCATTTTTGTATATCTCGTTTTTTCTATGGTGATAATTTTTGTATATCTCATTTTTTCTATGCGTTTCCCTTTTCTTCTTTATCCTGTAACTGCTAGTCTAATAGCAAATCCTTCATAAAAGTTATTGCATTACATTCTTCATTAAATTACCTTTCCATTGATATATAATTTTATGGTACTCTTTAAAAAAGTAGTGTTATTAGCTCGTTTTATACAACTGTATAGCGTTTGGGCTTCTAGGCCTGGATAGCTTTATGGCTTCTGTTTGTTTTCCTTTTTTTCTATCCCGTTTCAAAAGGGATAGATAATCTCATCAGTGGAGTAAACCCATTACGTCCCATGGGGAGTTTTGGCAGCAACGTTTGTTTATGAACGCATCCTAAGTTATTTGATTTGGAGGGTTAATTTGTATTTTGCGGCAAATCGTTTTTGGGTTCATCCCATGAAGAAAAGCTCCGATGTTTGGGATGAAAAACTCATTGGTGGGATAATTTCCCTTACTCAATTGAATTGTTGCTCAAGTGTGCTCTGCTTGGTTTAGGAACTGGCCACTGTCTCTGTGGGCCTTCCAGATGTTCTGAAATCAGGCCACTGGTGCAGCTTGCATGATCAGGAAGCTCTTTTGCTAAAGGATATTTATAAACCGGCAGAGACAAGTGACAACTTCAGACAAAAGGTAAGAGAATGTAATATGCTGGTATTGAATAGAGTAGAGTAGAGTAGAGTAGAGTAGAGTAGAGTAGAATAGAATAGAATAGAATAGAATAGAATAGAATAGAATAGAATAGAATAGAATATAGAATATAGAATATAGAATATAGAATATAGAATATAGAAGCTGATTGTTGTGACCCAGGCCCAAGTAGGTATTATCAATCAGTTCGAAAACAAACAGACTTTATTTATGGCATAGGACCCGGGTATCTTCGAGATCGACTTCTGCCACCAATAGCCTCCCACCGGCCACAGAGAGGGTCTCCTCAGGGTGCCATCGGCCAAGTTATTTCGGCTGGCGACACCCAGGGGGAGGGCCTTCTCTGTGGGAGCCCCAGCCCTGTGGAATGAACTGCCCCGGAAGTGCGTAAGATCTCCGACCTCCGGGTATTTCGCTGTGCACTCAAGACCCTGTTGTTCCGCCAGGCCGGGCTATCAACATAATAATTTTATATTGGGTGTTTTAAATTTCTGGGGTTTTAAATTGAGCCGAATTATTTAATAATTTTAAATTATTTTAATTGATGTTTGTCTTGTGCTTTTAATAGGCTGTACACCGCCCTGAGTCCTTCGGGAGAAGGGCGGTATAGAAATAAAATAATAATAATAATAATAATAATAATAATAATAATAATAATAATAAGGAGCGCTTTAAAGATGGTAACCAGCACCTTGAATCGCACCCGGAAGACCACCGGGAGCCAGTGCAGCTCGCGCAGGAGAGGTGTTACATGGGTGCGCCGTGTCGCTCCCATAATCACCCAGGCGGCCGCATTCTGGACCAGCTGGAGCCTCCGGGTGCTCCTCAAGGAGAGCCCCATGTAGAGAGCATTACAATAGTCAGATGGGAGGTGACAAGGGCATGAGTGACCGTGCGCAAGGCGTCCCGGTCCAGAAAGGGACGCAACTGGTGAATCAGGCGAACCTGATAAAAAGCCCCCCTGGCCACAGCCGTCATATGATCTTCTAAAGACAGCCGTGCATCCAGGAGAACACCCAAGTTGCGAGCCCTCTCTGTGGGGGCCAAGATCTCACCCCCAATAGTCAGCGATGGAGCCAGCTGGCTATACCAGGACGCCGAAAACCACAGCCACTCGGTCTTGGAGGGGTTGAGTCTGAGCTTGTTTCTCCCCATCCAGATCCGCACGGCCTCCAGGCACCGGGACATCACGTCAAGGGCATCATAACCTATGGTGGTTTTTTTTCTTCTTTTTTCACCAGAATTGCATTTCACGAGTGCTGTGTGTGATGAGATTGTCTTCTTCGTTTCCAAGGCTGAGAGGGGACGCTGTATTTACTCTGCTGAGCAAGTACACTGCCGCGATAAGATGCAGTGAGGAGATGCACTCATTGCAAAAACAGGCGCTGGACTCAACCCACACCGAGAACGATGACACGAATCAATCCGTGTCCTCCATCGAAGACGATTTCGTGACTGCTTTAGAACACTTAGAGGAAGATGAGCCGGCAAAAATGATCCATATCGGTTAGTGGATTCCCCCAGGATAGTGTAACTTCTTCAATATTTCGGATTTTGCAATGGGTGTTTTAAGGGCATGTTCTCATTCAATTTGATTTTTGCAGAAATATTTTCATCTGTAGTATGTTGTATATTGTGATATAGTATATAAGCCACGGTTGGCTGGTGGTTATAATGCAGTATTGCAGGCTGGCTCTGCTCACTGCCAGAAGTTCGATTGTGACCAGCTTAAGGTTGACTCAGCCTTCCATCGTTTCGAAGTTGGTAAAATAAGGACCTAGATTGTTAGAAGTCTAAGTACAATTGCTATTTTTGTGTGGGGTCGTTGTTGCTCTCTGAGCTTGGTTGTTTTCTTGTAGACATTTCATTACCCAACTGTTCTGTCCCTGTCTCACACACGCACACAAACAGATAGTCGGGTTAAATAAAACTGGCAGACAATAAATTCTTTTGATAAGAGGCTTGGCAGCAACCCAGTAGCTGCTTGCCAAGAACTTTACTCATAGAGGGAGGGGTTGTTCCTCCGATAGTTAAACCCAAACAAGATACACAAGCTCAAGAATTGTCAAGTCCAGTCCATATTAAATCCAAAGCAGATAACGTTGTTTCAAAGATAAAATGTGACTTGCTAGTAGTTAGTTTTGTCCGTCACAGAGTCTGAATGGCCACCTCACCCCCTTTTATCCCCTGTGGGGTGTGGTCCAGTGACTCAGCCTAATCTCTGGCACGCCTCCTTTTCTGCTGCATGCGCCTGTCTCTCCGACACTGGCGTGGATCTAGCCAAGACTTATCTCCGTCACTGTCCGACTGCGAGGAGATACCTGGCTCCTGGCCAATCTCTTCTCCTTTGGGAGACACCTGAGGCATTGCCAGAGAGGAGGGTCCTGGAGAGGGAGGCCTGGCCAACTCCTCTCCTTCATGTTCGGAGCCTTCTCCCTCCAATAAGTCGGCCTTGGGGGTCGGAGTCACAACACCAACTAGGTAACATCATCAGATAGGAGACTCTGTACCATTTCAGACAAGGGTTGTCCAATCTTTTCTTAAAAACCTCCAGTGTTGGAGCACCCACAAGTTCTGAAGACAAACTGTTTCACTGATTAATTGTTCTCACTGTCAGGAAATTCCTCCTTAATTCTAAATTGGTTTTCTGCTTGATTAATTTCCATCTGTTGCTTCTTGTCCTGCTTTGGAGAATAGCTTGACTCCCTCTTCTTTGTGGCAACCCCTGAGATATTGGAAGACTGCTATCATGTCTCCCCCAATCCTCTTTTTCATTAAACTAGACATATCCAATTCCTGCAACCGTTCTTCATATGTTTTAGCCTCCAGTCCCCTAATCTTTGTTGCTTTTCCCTTCACTCCTTCTAGAGTTTCAATATATTTGTTTAAAATCACGAACATATTGATTGCTAAGGATGTAATTGTATAGACATTTATTTTGAAATTGCCCTCTTGAGCCTATTGGAATTTGCTGTTAAGTGAAAATGGGAGTTTCATACGTTAAATCCAATGGCCAGAACTTTTTGCATTGTTTCCTAATTCTGCTAGTTGACTGATATTGATTCATGTGTCATTCAACTGGTGTCAAGTCTTAGTAGCCACATAGATAGACTTTCTCTAAGGTAGCTTACAAAAATGTCTTCTTTTTATTTTCTTTCTCCCCCCGCCCTCCTTTTGAACAGAACCTGAGAAGAGGCAAGAGTCTTCTCCAAAGTCCACCTTTGCACATCCTCTCAAATCTAATGATCAAAAGTCCTTCATCAGTTCTTTGTATCGGAGGCCATCGGTCAAATCCGCCATCTCCTTGGTGAACATCTTAGAACTTGAAGAATTGTCATCTTCCATAAGAAATTCGGTCTCCACTTCCGTTTCTGATCCTTGGATACAGAGAAGCTTTTTCAGGTCCCACAGTTCTTCGGATCGCGGGGTTAATTTTTTGCACAAAACCTTATTTTCTTCCTCTCCGGCTGATTCGTCTGAGTCAGACTGTTCTAGTCCAAGCCCTGTCATATTCTTGGATGAAGAAGGGTATCAAAAAAGTTTGAAGGCAAAGCTTCAGCTGCCGAAAATACCAGTAGGGAAAGATGGAGTAGAAGATTCCGATTCGGAAGTCAGCGAGTTTTTTGATAGTTTTGACCAATTTGATGAACATGAACAAACTTTGGGAGATAGTTCTAAAGGTTCTAGAGATCCCATCACTGTAATTCATACGTCGCAGAAAAGCATCGTTTCGTGTCAGAAGTCCTGCTCCACCTCAATATCAATGAATCCTCAAAAATTTAAGTGTGATCGCCCGGTTCTTCCAGCCAACATAAGGAAGCCAACTCCTCGCAAACCAGAATCTCCATACAACAATCTGTTGGATGTCCCAGATTCCCCCCGCCTGATCAAAAACCCAACCGATGATCACGCAGCCTTGTTCAGCCCAATCAGATCTTCTGCTTTCAGTCCGCTGGGCAGTTGCTTTTCCACAGAATGTCTCTGTCGAATGAATCGAGATGCCTTCACCCAGAACCACAATATCGTCTATCACACCTACTCAGATTTTGCAAATAACATTTCTTTCGAAATTCTGGGTTCTGTGTGTAATGCTAGGCCACCCTCGTTGTGTAGATGCACACAGGAGATTATCAGCCAGGGTAGAATCATTCCAGTAGAAGAGAAAGACCGGACGGCAAAAATCCAAAGAGACATATCTAGAAAAGGACTTCATAAGAAAGATAAATCCAAACACAAGTCGGGAGTGATTAAAGATCATATCCAGAAATTTGCTTCGGAGCTGGTGGAAACAAGTTTTGGGAGTGCGTTTAAAGATCTCCAGAAGGGTGTTTCTTCGTGTACTAATGCGTTGTGTCAGTTGGCTGCTAAATTGACTTCTTCGGTCTTCCAGATGGCCTTCTACGAGATTGGGAGGCAGCAGGCTCTTCTGCTGAAGAAGAAAGCCATTAATGGTTTAGCAGGGTTTTTGGTGAGCGAAGCCGTCACCGGAGCTTTGAAAGAACTGTACTCCGTGAAGCAACAAATGTTTACCAACACCGTTACCAAATTTGCAGCAAACCTTGCCGAGGAGCTGATATTTGAGGGGATAATGGAAGTTTGTCAGTTTTCACATCCGCCAACGCCCACGGCATCTCACCAGGGCTCCTTCCGTTATAACGATGACATCGTGTGGTCCTATGCGGAAGACTTGTCTGAATCCGTCATCCAGAATGCTTTTATTGAGTTATCGCAGGTCGATGTGAGCTTCACGTCGCAAGCTGCAATCAGCATTTCCATGGACAACGTAAAATACGTAAGCAAGGAAAGGGTGCTGGAGTTAACCCACACATCCAATGGTTCTTCTGAGCTTTGTGAGAAAATGCCGGTAGCCTTGAACCCTGTTTGGGAATTCAGAAAGGAACACACCATTAACCGAGCCTTGTTCTTCACAACGGGCATTGCAAGTTCAATTCCGGTGCCCTTAGCAGGAAGTATCCTTTCTCACCATCAGATTTTATGGAAGGAAGCCAAAGTCAAGAATCCACTGGCATCCGAGAACAAGTTCTCCTCCTACAAAGGGTCCCCAGAAATGTGTTGTGCCACCAAAAAGAATCAAAGCGAAGTGTCCTCACTTAGAAATATCTACCTGACCACTGATTTCACACCAGACAATGAACGCAATCCACTTGACCATCCCGAGGCCGGCAAACTTGCAGAAATATCGAGCATCAATAACTTTTCTGGAACGATGGTCGATATGATCGTATCGGAAGCCTACGAAGCCGTCACTTCTTCCCGGGTTTCTAAATCAGCAGAGCCGTACACGGGTGTGCTGCAAATGAAAGATGCTCCCTGTTTGCAGTGCATCGGGAAGGACTCCTGCAAGAATATGTTTGCTAATTATTTGGCCAAACGGATTGTAAAACAGTCCGTCGACGAAACGAAATCGGCGTGTTCAGCTACGGGTGAGAAATTAGCCTACTGTGTTGGGTTGGGAACCCATGCCAGAAGCGATAAGAAGGAATCTCAGGGCGCGGCCAAACAAGGAGAAAAAACGAAGAACATCCCAGTTATCGTGGGTCAACAGCAGATGCCTTTAAACAACATATCAAAATTTCACATCTCTACCGCTGCTTCTAACCGATATTTGATGTTGGGGTTTAAAGATGGAGTTCAGGAAACAAAGAACCGGGTGGCTTGCACGCCATCCACAAGTACAATCTCTCCTACGGTGACATTTGTCAAATCTAATGAGCAGATTCCAGATGTGGAAGACAGTTCAGAGATACCTATCAGTAATCTACTTGAAAAACAGAGCACGTCTAAAGCCACAGGAGGTTCTGCGTTTGGTCACGAAATGCGTTTTTCGGAAATAAATAACTCTTCCGTGGTGCCCACGTGTGAAGATGCATTTCAGCTGGAAGATAAATTGAATGTCAGAGACCGAAATCTTCTCGTGGTACCAGAAACACCGCCCTCCACACCTTTAATACCTTCTCAGGCAAGTTCGGAGTGGAATTTAAGGAAATTAACCAAAAAACTGAAAGGGGAATTAGCAAAGGAGTTTGCGCCTGCTACACCCCCTTCGACTCCTTACGTATCGGAAACAGATGGAATATACACTCCAGAATGTGAAAACTTAGAAAAGGAAGAGTTTATGTTGAAATTAATGCGGTCTCTCTCCGAAGAAGTAGAAAACAAGGAAGTTGAGGAACAGTCCGAAACATTGTTAGAGCAAATTCAACCTTCAGGACCGACAATAGATTACGCTGATCATCTAGCTACTTGTATCATCTCCATGGCAACCGAACAGGCCTCTTCCCGTTTAGAAGATAAAGCTACTCAGATGGAGAAGAGGAGATACTTTCAAGTAAGCATGGAAGACCAAAGAGGTGGGCATTCCACATTTGTTAACGTTCTGGAAAAAACCACCCCCGCTTTGTGCATTTACGCTGGTGAAATGGCTGGGAGGGTCATCCGAGAAGCCAAGAAAAGGCTCAACTCAAGACATTGTAAACTTCTGAGCCGCCGTCACGTTAATTACGAGGGCGATTGCTTTCACCTGAAAAGAAACTATCATGAATCTTGGTCCAAAGACAAAAGGCCGAAGCCATGTTCTAGAGAACCAGACGGCTGTGTTCTTCCTGTGCCTCTGAATCCAGAAGCTTCGGGGCTCAACTCCAAATATCCCAGCTGCGAAAGCGTGACGGATGAGTACACCGATCACATCATTCGGGTTTTGAAACAGGAAGGTGGCCACGGGGACCTCATCATGGATAATTTTGCCAGCAGGCTTGCTTACAAAACGGTGAGGTCTGGAATGCAGCAAGCCGCCAGGAAACTCCGGGCGAAGCCCAGTAGAAAGGTTGCTGCGGAAAAGAGCTTCAAGCTAAACAGTAAGCTTGAGTTGTTCGAGGCAGCAAACCAGGACTTAGATCAAAAGAATCAGAAAAATGGCATGATGCTTCATCTCGCGAAGCAACCTTGGAGGAGCAGATGTCCCTTACATGGGCCTGAACTTTCAAAGTTGCTTGACTTTTCAGAATCTCTTGCTTGTACGGTCACCTCGGATGCCAGAAGGGCGTTCATGTCCACAACGAGTTTACCCAAATCTTTAACGGATTCTTGCTTGTACCAACCACCTAGAGACGATAAAGTCGCCGATTTCAAAACAATGTGGAGTCACAGACTGTCTTCTTCCCGTTGTAAGCAAAAGCTGTATCACAGCACGGAGAGTTTGAGGGACTCTACCTACCAAGGGAACATTTTACAAGCCGTAGACCGATATGCGAAGAAGATCGTAGATGATACTTTAGAAGTGAGTTTAGGATCAGCTTCTCGGCAAGCTCCTGAAGGCTGGACAAATGGAGAGAGGTTAACCTATGAAGAAAAAATGATCCCATTTTCTACAGCTGCCTGCAAACACTGCAGTTTGAAAGAACATCAAACCTGCATTGGCGGTTCATCTCTGGCGCTAGCTGGACGAGATCTTCCTGTTAGACAGTCGTCAGATGGGAGTGTAAGCATCACCTTGCCTAAATCTCATGTGCTTCATTTGGACATTCCCAAAATTCATGTCGATATGGAGGAGAAGCTCCTATTTGCTGAAAACCTTGCACCTGTCACGATGGATCGAGCGAGGAGGCAGCTCAGCAACACCAGTTTGACAGCGGATAGCGGAATCAGTCAGGATGGAATCAGTTTTGCTGAAAGTCTAACCACAGAAATTATGACTTCTTGCATGACAAATATTGCTCCAGCCATCAATATAAGGTAAGGTTGGTTTTTGCAGGGGATATATACTGTAGGAGAAGAGCAGGCAGAGTTGGGGTGGGGCGGAATTAAATGAGTCATCAGCCTAAAGTCATTATGTTCCCATAAATAGTCTTAAGTCCAACTCCTCTTGAATTCTGCTGACCCTTATCTGGCGCCAATTTAGAGTTGAACTTGAGTTGACTAGATTAGGAGAAGAGAGCGGGGGGAAAGAGTTAAATGAGTCATCAGCCTGGAGTCATTATGTTCCCACAAACCGTGTAAGTCCAACTCCTTGAATTCCATTGACCTTGATCCGGCATCAATTTAATATCGAACTTGAGTTGACTAGATTAGAAGAAGCAGAGCAGGGGGAGGAGTTAAACAAGTCATTGGCCTAGAATCATTACGTTCCCAAAAATGGTCTAAATCCACCCCCTCTTGAATGCCGTTGATCCTTATCTGGCGCCAATTTAGTACTGAACTTGAGTTGACTAGATTAGAAGGAGAGAGGCAGAGCTGGTGGGGGCGGAGTTAAACAAGTCATCAGCCTAGAGTCATAACATTCCCACAAACAGTCGTAAGTCCAACCTCTCTTGAATTCTGGCACTAATTTACTATTGAACTTCAGTGGACTAGATTAGGAGAAGAGAAGGAGAGTGGGGGGAGGAGTTAAACAAGTCATCAGCCTAGAGTCATAACATTCCCACAAGCAGTCTTAAGTCCAACCTCTCTTGAATGCTATTGAATTCTGGCGCCAATTTACTATTGAACTTCAGTTGACTAGATTAATGTCAGGTGCCAAGAATCAGGAACCGTATGTTAGGATGTAGTTCAGAAGATTTATTACTCCAGTCTATACACAAAAACATATAAGGGGCGGGGCTGAAGTCATGATGCTTGTTTCATCTTTCTGAAACAGCCATTGGAATTTGAGGAGACCTCTCGAGTGGGTTCCAGGGGTGATCAACACTGAAGGAAGGTCAGGTATGCGGAATGCAATGACAAACAGTGATTCTACCCTGCTTACCTATATTAGCGCCATGGAAACTGAGGGACCAAATTTTGCTGAATCTGTGGTTAGCCAGCAAACTGGAGATGACAGCACCGGCAGCTGGTCGAACTTGAGTTTTGATGATGAACATCCAGACGAGAGCAGCAGCTATCTCCACCTCAGCGATAGGTAATTAAAATCTGTTTCTAATGTTGACTGGTGACATCCCATCAATCGGTGTCAACTCTTAGTGACCGAACTTCTCCAGAATGAATGTTTAATGTGCAGTTTTGATGAGCTGGCTTGACCAACCCTTCTTACACCGTTAAGGCCTAGGGTTGACTTCAACAGACTTTAGCTTGGTGTTTTTTAAATGTTGAATGATTTAACTGTGAGGTAAGGCATTTGTTACCCAAAAGCTTTCGTGGCGCAGTGGTTAAAATGCAGTATTGCAGTCTGACTCTGCCCTCTGCCAGGAGTTCGATCCTGACCGGATCAAGGCTGACTCAGTCTTCCATCCTTCGAGATGGATAAAATGGGGACCCAGATTGTTGGGGGTAAGATTCAGACTCTGTAAACCGCTTTGAGAGGGCTGTAGAGCACTGTGAAGCGGTATATAAGTCTAAGTGCTAATGTTATTGCTATAAAAACCATTCCCACTGCCAGGAGTTTGATCCTGACCAGCTCAAGGTTGATTCAGCCTTCCATCCTTCCGAGGTCAGTAAAATGAGGACCCAGATTGTTGGCGGCAAGAGGCTGACTCTGTAAATCACTTAGAGAGGGCTGTTAAGTGCTTCTAGACCCAAAGAGAGACCAGATCTAGAAGTAATCTGAGAAAATAAAGTAGGTAAATCTGGCGACTCAGTTTCTTGACTTTTCTGGGTTTTTTTTTTTAACGACAAGCATCTGTTGACGCCACCTTGCTTTCATGCATGACCTACCATCTCCATCTTCTCAGATGCCTTGCTTTCAAGGTTGAAGGTCCTCTACTGGACCTTTAAGATAGACCTTCACAGATTTGGCGGCGGGAGAAAAAAAAATACTCGTGAACTGGCTTTTCCTTCTCCTGAAGGTCATTCTTGCTTGTCGTTCTTGGACGCCTCTCAAAAGTGGTGCAGCACCTCCATAATCCATGTAAGGCAGGGGTATCAAATTGCAGGCCGGATCAGCATTCTAGTTGTCCTCCATGGGCCGCTGGCGGGGGGAAGGAGTTCACAGGCTCACGCGCATGCAAGAATCAGTGGGCGCATGTGCACGCAGGCTCTGCCCCCACCATCCCAGCTGACTCCTGCACACACGTGCGCCTGCCATGATAGAATGGGCCAGGCCGAAGATTCCTGGAGGGCCAGCCCCTACTGTTGGACACCTCCCCCCCCACGCGCACACACCTGAAAGGCCGATAAGCGCAGTTGTCCTGGAAACAGTAAGGGGCCGGCTTACATCGCTTTGGCCAGGCCCGCCCAATCCCAGCAGGTGCATACCCGCGCACAGGCCCAGCCCACGCCATCCTGGCAGACGCATATGTGAAGTCGGCGAGCGTTCATGCCGGGGATGGGGTGGGCCGGGCTTGTGCGTGCCTGCTGACTCCTGTGCGTGCGTGCCCCTGCCGGGACTTGGTGGGCCTGCTGGCTGAAGCGCCATGGGCCGGGCCCTTACCGTTTCCACAGTGGCTGCGTGGGCCAGATGCGACAACATCGCGGGCCGGATCTGGCCCACGGGCCTTGAGTTTGATACCCCTGATCTAAGGCCATCCACTAGTGCAGGGGTGGGCAATTGTGGCTCTTTTACAACCTGTGGACTTCAACTCCCAGAATTCCTGAGACAGTTGGCGTCTCAGGAATTCTGGGAGTTGAAGTCCACAAGTCATAAAGGGGCCATATTTGCCCACCCCTGCACTAGTCCTTAGGAAGTTCTGGTTCTAACTATTTATTTTCTCTGAGTTCAGTCCTCTTCTCTTCTTTCCTGGCAGTAATGGTAACAGCAGTAGCTGGAGCAGTCTTGGTTTAGAAGGAGATTTGTATGAGGAGAATTTGTCCTTTTCGACATCCGACAGGTTGGTCAAACGAAGACCCAACAGCAGGACGGTCCCCCCCTTGTGTTTTTCATGCATGGCCGTGATTACTTTTTCAAGACCAACAATCGGGGGGGGCCTTTAATCTGGCGATTTCACTGTCGACGTGCTTCTCACTTCTTAACAATCGTGCTGTTCCTTAACCAACTCCATAAAGAGCGGGGGATCCATTTGATTGTGTGGCGGTGTGAATGCCTTTGCAGAGACGACAACAAACATCCGATCGATGTTGTGCATGTCCGGCTTGCTTGTCCTATCTCCTGTCGATTGTGTCTTGCTAAGAATAAGAGCTTGCTTCCCGCAATATTTCTGATTTTTCTTTTTTCTTTTTACCGAGTTCCCGATCGTTCTCCTTGCTGTCAGAGCTGCCCCTTGGAAACGTTGTGTGGACATTTGAAGCAATACAGGTCATCCTCAACTTACGGCCACCATGGAGCCCCCAATTTTTGTGGTTAAACGAGGCGTTTGTTTAAGCGAGTTTCACCCCCATTTTACCACCTTTCTTGCCTCGGTTGTTAAGTGAATCTGGCTTCCCTCACTGCCTTGGCTTGTCCGAAGGTCGCAAAAAGGGGATCACATGACACCCCCCCCCCGTGGACACAGCAACGGTCATAAGTACGAACCAGTTGCCAAGCGTCTGAATTTTGATCACGCGGACATGGGGATGGCTGGAAAAGTCGTAAGTGTGAAAAACATTCATAAGTCACTGTTGTTCATTGCTGTTGTAACTTTGAACAGTCACTAAATGAACCATCGTAAGTCAAGGACTACCTGTATTTTCTTCTTCAAATCATTTGATATTTATCTTTTTAAAAAAAAAAAAAAAGTTGGACTTTTAAGTATTTAACCAGGAAATTTGCAAAGCAGGAAATGGTGTGAGAAGCAAGGATTTTGTTTTTCACCGTAATACCTTACAACTTCTGTCGAGTTCATGCTATTCTTTCTTGAATGTTCATCCTGGCCTGCGCACCACCGAAGAGATTAATACGGTCTCTGCTTCTCATGGGTCTCCCTTCTTTTCTAGTGATGGAACAGAAGACAAGGAGGAAGAGCTTAAAGATTCCATGGAAGGTAAGTTCGAAGAGGAGTGAATGTAGATTATATTGGAAGTGGTACTCCGTCCAGTTTGGTCACCGTGATACAAAAAATAGAAGATGTTGAGACTCCTAGAAAGAGTGCAGAGATGACCAGGGAGCTGGAGGCTAAAACATAGGATAGGATTAGGATTAGGATTAGGATTAGGATTAGGATTAGAAATATGGAATGGAATGGAATGGAATGGAATGGAATAGTGTTAAGGAATAAGCGCAGAGTAACCCTTGAGTAGCAAGGTTGTGCACATGAGAAATGGCTGAGAGTGATTGTGACTAAGCACTGTCAATACACAGACACACTGAGTTGTGATATTCTTTTACTTTTAGGAAAAAGTAAAGCAAAGTCCAATAAACAACCCCGGTCATACACAGATAAAGATAGTTAAATTGTCAGTCCAGGGATATTCCAAGAACAAAATCTTCTTACCAGTTGTTGTAGTCATATGCAATAAAACAGTTCTTTTTGGAGTTGCAAACAGGAACAAGTACAGCAGTAAAACAATAAAACAGTAGAAAACAACAAGGAGCAATGATCAATCAGTGTTCATGCAGAGAGAACAGGCAGAGAGGAGCAGAGGTAGCAATAATAATGTAATAAGAAAAAATAAGCCATGATTCAAGCTTCCTCTTAAATAATGTTGGCTACAGAGCTAGCCAATCAGAATACAGTATGATGCAATACAGCATTACAGTCTTAAAGCTATACATTACATTTTGACTGCAAACATGCATTAATGGTTTTTATATATATTACCAACCAACCAGTTAGGCAATAGCCATTCCCTAACGAATGGAATGGAATGGAATGAATAGAATAGAATAGAATAGAATAGAATAGAATAGAATAGAATAGAATAGAATAGAATAGAATAGAATAGAATTCTTTATTGGCCAGGTGTGATTGGACACACAAGGAATTTGTCTTGGTGCAAATGCTCTCAGAGTACATATAAAGAATAGATACATTTGTCAAGAATCATAAGGTACAACACTTAATGACAGTCATAGGGTACAAATAAGCAATCAGGAAACAATATCTGATGATGATGATGATGATAAATGATTGCAGGAATTGGGTATATGTCTACTTCAGGGGCCTCCAAACTTGGCCACTTTAAGGCTTGTGGACTTCAACTCAAAGAGAAGAGCAATGAAGATGATTAGGGAGACTGGAGGCTAAAACATATGAAGAGCGGTTGCAGGAACTGGGTATGTCTAGTTTGATAAAGAGAAGGACTAGGGGAGACATGATAGCAGTCTTCCAATATCTCAGGATCTGCCACAAAGAAGAGGGAGTCAAGCTATTCTCCAAAGCACCTGAAGGCAGGACAAGAAGCAATGATTAGGGGCTAAAACATATGAAGAATGGTTGCAGGAACTGGGCATGGCTAGTTTAATGAAAATAAGGACTCAGGATGACATGATAGCAGTGTTCCAGTATTTGAGGGGGTTGCCAGAAAAAGAAGAGGGGGTCAACCTGTTCTCCAAAGCACCTGAAGGCAGGACAAGAAGCAATGGGTGGAAACTCATCAAGGAGAGAAGCAACCTAGAACTAAGGAGAAGTTTCTTGAGAGTGAGAACAATTAATCAGTAGAACAACTTGCCTCCAGACGTTGTGGGCGCTCCATCACTGGAGGTTTTTAAGAAGAGATTAGACAACCATTCATCTGAAATGGTATAGGGTTTCCTGCCTAAGCTGGGGAGTTGGACTAGAAGACCTCCAAGGTCCCCTCCAACTCTGTTATTCTGTATTCTGATACACCTTAAGTCTACCCAGGGGTGCTTCTGCGCAGATGTCTTTTGTAGACTGCACATCTGTTTCGTCTTTTCTCACTTATTTCTGGGATAGAGAAAATGGCAGACGGGAAAATGGCAAGAAGGTGACAAAAGAGGAAAGCAGGTTGAAAGAGCCCCTTAAATTGTAATTATAAAGACTGATTGTAAAGACTTAATTGGAACCAACCTCTGGACCAGTTTTTGTCAATCCTGGGTGAGAACAGCGCTCCTCATCTGTCTGAAAACCATCTGTACGTGTTGTGTAATATTCTCAGCTGCGATGGACCACAAACTCGGGTTTTGCTCGGAGGCCCGGCCTTAAATTACTCGGATTCACGTTTCCCAAATGAACACAACAAGTCTAGCTCCATCTTATGGACATTAGTGGGCATTCTTTTTTAACTGAACAATTGCTCCCTGCTAAATTAAAAGTCAACAAAGCCAGATATTACACCGTTTCGACAACTGATGGAACCCTTTATTTTATTTTATTTTTAATTAACCCTTTAATTTTCTATACAATAAGGACAGTTTAACGGTAGATAACGGGTTACTTTGAAAGCCCAACCGCTTTCAGAATAACAGAGTTGGAAGGGACCCTGGAGGTCTTCTAGTCCAACTCCCTGCTCAAGCAGGAGGCCCTATACCATTTCAGACAAATGGCTGTCCAATCTCTTCATAAAAACCTCCAGTGATGGAGCACCCACAACTTCTGGTGGCAAGCAGTTCCATTGGTTAATTGTCCTCACTGTTAGTAAGTTTCTCCTTAGTTCTAGGTTGTTTCTCTCCTTGGTTAGTTCCCATCCATTGCTTCTTGTCCTGCCTTCTGGTGCTTTGGAGAATAGGATGACTCCCCTCTTCTTTGTGGCAGCCCCTGAGATATTGGAAGACTGCTATCATGTTACCTCTAGTCCTTCTTTTCACCCAACTAGACCTATCCAGTTTCAGCAACTTTTCTTCATGTTTTAGCCTCCAGTCCCCTAATCATCTTTGTTGCTCTTTTCTGCACTCTTTCTAGAGTCTCCACATCTTTTTTATGTCGTGGTGACCAAAATAATCCTTTTCTCCCCCATTCTTCACCTTTCCAGCAAAAAGTTAATTTAACCTGCATAATTCTGATTTTAAAAAAACCACCCATCTGCCTTGTGTCTTGTGAACTGTCACAGAAAAACGGTTTAATCCTTAGTCTTAGTTGGATGCATGGAAGGCCAAACAGGATTGTCTTTCTTAGTCTTTGTTTACTCAGTTCTTTTTCACAATCTGCAGTTTCTTAGCTGTTAGAATTGTGTCTATTGTTGATTGGGAGGATTTTGAACCCAATATGTATGTGAATCAGAGAGAGAGGGTGGGGGGAAGGAGAGAGAGTGGAAGAAGAGAGAGAGGGAGAGGGAGAGATAGAGAGGAGAGAGAAGGAGAGAGAGAGTGGAAGAAGAGAGAGGGAGAGAGGAAGAAGAGAAAGGGAGAGAGAGTGGAAGAATAGAGAGAGGAGAGAGAAGGAGAGAGTCGAAGAGAGAAAGAGGGAGAGAGGAGAGAACGCGAGAGTGGAAGAAGAGAGGAAGAGAGGGAGAGAGAGAGGAGAGAGAAGGAGACAGAGTGGAAGAAGAGAGAGAGAGGGAGAGAAGAGAGTGGAATAAGAGAGGGAGAGAGAGAAGGAGAGAGAGTGGAAGGAGAGAGAGAGGGAGATATAGCACTTCGAATTTACTTGAAATTGAACTATAATTGCCATTTGTTTCCCTTTCACCCAGTTTGCAAAGATCTCTTATTTTCTTTCTCCCCCCCACTTTTTTTACCACTTTGTATAATTTGATGTAATTAACAAACATGCCTAACCTCATTGCTTTTCCCATCGTGCACTAGCAGCAATTGGCTGTCTTTGCAAAATGCTTTCCATCATCCGTTGACTAAAATGTCTGGTGAATAGACTTAATTTTCCCTTTTCCTTGGCTTGTCCTAGAGTTGAGGAAACCCTCCAAAGCCTTGGTCGTTGTGAATGTGGACGTTGGACCATGCATGGTGGATCCTCAGCTGAGAATGACACTGCAGTGGCTGAGTGCTTCGGAGGCAGATGTGCGTGAGCTGCGTTTCCATGAGGACACACCCGGGGAGTTTGTTCTTGTGAGTAGCAAAGTTGCAGCCCCAGTACAAGCTTACATATAATTCCACTTGGACTTGGTCTTCGGCCTTCAAACGCTTGAAGGAACCCTTCCCTTGATGAAAAATCAGTGTGGAACCCGTTCATACATAGTGTCAACTCGCAAAGCATCTCTGGCCTGCTCTCGAGTTGCCATAGGCCAGAGGGGATGGGAAATCAGCGAAATGGCACTGTTCTGTCCCCGTCTCACACACGCACACAAACAGTCAGCCAGGGGTTAAATAAAACTTGCAGACAATAAATTCCTTCGATAACAGGATTGGCAGCAACCCAGTAGTTGCTTGCCAAGAACTTTACTCACAGAGGGAGGGGTTGTTCCTCCGCCAGATAAACCAAAACAAGATACACACAGTCAAAGAATTGTCCAGTCCAGTTCGTATTAAATCCAAGGCAGGCAGATAACGTAGTTTCAGAGATACTCGCTAATTGTTTAGTTTTGTCCGTCACAGAGCCTGAATGGCCACTACACCCCCTTTTATCCCCTGTGGGGTGTGGTCCAGTGACTCAGCTTAATCTCTGGCACGCCTCCTTTTCTGCTGCGTGCACTTGTCTCTCCGACGCTGGCGTGGATCCAGCCAAGACTTATCTCCGTCACTGTCCGACTGTGACTGCTCGGAGATACCTGGCTCCTGGCCAATTTCTTCTCCTTCGGGAGATACCTGAGGCATTGCCAGAGAGGAGGGTCCTGGAGAGGGAGGCCTGGCCAACTCCTCTCCTTCACTTTTGGAGCCTTCTCCCTCTGATAAGACGGGCTCGGGGGTCGGAGTCACAACAGGCACAGCAGCCAAAGACAGATGCACATTCCACACTTATCTCTCTCAAGGCTGTATCCCAGGGATACCTACAGCAGCTGAGGGGAGTGACCTCTACAACCCACGAAATTGCTCCGTTGGCGAATGTGATTGATAACACACCCTGGGGAGAGGAGGGAAACAGGGTCATAATTGGAGCATAAATTACGTAGGGTCAGAGCTGGCTTCACTTGGGAACCTGCGAACACGAAGCTCCTAATAAATAACTGGATTTCTTTTGAAGCTTGGCTTGAGACTCATGATTTAATTAGGGCATCCCTCAGAACACTGACACATAGTTTTCAAAGATACATTTCTTGGAACCACAGGTTAATGTTGCCCTAGCATGTTCCAAGGAACGGAGTTTAATTTATGCTCATTCCATCATGATGTCATCTTCAAATCTTTGTGATCCACGGACCATTGCAACCGTTCTTTATATGTTTTAGTCTCCAGGTCTTTGATCGTCTTAGTTGCTCTTCTCTGAACTTTTTCCAAAGTCTCAACATCTTTTTCTGTAATGTGGTGGCCAAAATTGGCTGCAATATTCCAGGTGTGGTCTTACTAGGTTTTTTACAAAGCGATACTAATACTTCACCTGATCTTGATTCTATGCCTTTGCTTATGTTGTTTAGTCACTAGGTCATGTCTGACTCTTCGTGACCCCATGGACCACAGCATACCAAGCCCTCTCCATCTTCTGTTGTCTCCCAGAGTTTGCCTAAATTAAAGTTCATTCAGTCTATGACTCTATCTAACCATCTCATCCTCTGCCGTCCCCTTCTCCTTTGGCCTTCCAACTTTCCCAATATTGGGAAAGTCCTCTCTTCTCATTAAGTGGCCAGTAGAGGACAGGTCTCCCTGTCCTCCATTGTCTTCCAGACTTTGCCCATTGTGTTGATGACACCATCTCATCTTCTGCCTTCCCCTTCTCCTTTGGTCTTCCATCTTTCCCAACATCAGAGTCTTCTCCAAGGAGTCCTTTCTTCTCATTAGGTGGCCAGTAGAGGACAGGTCTCCCTGTCCTCCATTGTCTCCCAGACTTTGCCCATTGCGCTGATGACACTCATTATAACCATCTCATCTTCTGCCTTCCCCTTCTCCTTTGGCCTTCCATCTTTCTCAACTTCAGGGTCTTCTCCAAGGAGTCCTCTCTTCTGCCTTAGGCGGCCAAAATATTTGAGCTTCAGCTTCAGGATCTATCCTCCCAAAGGACAATCAGGGTTGATTTCCTTTAGGATCGACCAATCGGATCTCCTTGCTGTCCAGAGGACTCTCAAAAATCTTCTCCCTACAACGACCTTGTCTCTTCTCATCTCTTCATTTCTTCCCTCTGCTTTTCATTCTCCCTTAACTGGATTCTTAGCAGTCAGATCCCAAACCACAAGATAATTAAGTTTTGTTTTTTTGAACCATTTTATATCACTTTGGCCTTGCTTGTTTTTCTTCCTCCTGTAAGAGGCGAGGAAAACGCTTCCGGGCAGGGGATTATTAGAAGAGCCTCAATTCTAGGTAAGCCATCTCTCTTTCTTCACAGTGTCCAAACATGGAGAATTGTGGAGGTTTTTTTTCTAATTGTGGTTAATTAAAATCGACCCGTGTTTGAACGTAACAGGGAATTGTGGTCACTTCCAAACCCAAAGCGGAAGCTTCCCATTTGCCAGATCATGAAGGGGTAAAATACAAGGCAGACTCATTTTTCTAACAACAGATTACCTAACAAGAGAATTGGACCATCTGTCTTCTGAATTTAATTTTAGTTCTTACTTTTGCTTTGTTTGTTAAAAAACAGGAGGGGTTTTTAGGGGTGTCTAAACCTTGCATGCCTCTGTATGTTCATGTTGTGGTCCGCTAGCAGTCTGCGGAGCTGGCAGCAGAGTCGGACAGCGATGAGGCTGAGGAAGAACATGGGCCAGTCCTGGAAGCTGGAGAAGGCCCGGATGAGGGCTCTGCGTCGGAGGCAGAGATGGGGCCAGGGCCATCGGGGAGTGATGCGCGGACTTCGGAGCCTCCAGAGGCTGACAGTAGAGAGGCAGAGGAAGAGGAGGAGCCTGTTTCTAGTGCATGCATGAGAAGAGCTGCCAGAAGGCAGGAGCAGCTAAAGCAAAGAGGACGACTCGGGAGTAAGGCCAAGAGATGATTGGCCCCTCCCATAAGGCTTAAAAGACCAGCAACGGCTCTTGGGCTCTTTGCCGGAAAACAACCGTTGAAAGATTTGCTTCATGTTTGGATGTATTTCTTTCTTGTCGCCGTCTTCTGTTCCTGAACTGTTGCCAAGAAAAGCCTTTGGCAGTTTGCCTAATTATCCCAAGGTCAGAGATAAACTAAAGACTGGTGTTTTGAGGACTTTGCTTTCATTTAATTTGGAATACTCTGAGAATGAGTTAATTCTCAGCTGTTTTAATAATCTGTGTATTTCGCTGTGTCCTCAAAACCTTGTTGTTCCGCCAGGCTGGGCTATCAATGTAAAGATTTTAATTGGTTTTAAATGTGGGATTTTAAATTTGGGGGTTTTATAATTGAGCCAATTATTTAATTATTTTAATTATTTTTAAATTTTGTCTGTCTTTGTGCTTTTAATCAGGCTGTACACCGCCCTGAGTCCTTCGAGAGAAGGGCGGTATAGAAATAAAATAAATAAATAAAATAAATAAAATCTGTTTGTTTTTTGGAATTGTTTTGTATTTAATATTCACTACGTGGGCCTGGGTCACAACAGTTCACCAGAACGAGCTGGATATTACAGATAGTTCTCAACCTACAACAGTTCATTTAGTGACCAAAGTTACAACGGCACTGAAAAAAGGAACTTACGACCGTTTTTCACACATCATCCCCTGTGGTCACATGATCAAAATCCAGAGGCTTGGCAACTGGCATGTACTTACGACGGTTGCTGTGTCCCGGGTTACGTGATCCCTTTTGTGACTTCCTGACAAGCAAAGCCAATGGGGAAGCCAGATTCGCTTAACAACCGGGCAGTGATTCGCTTAACGGACGTGGCAAGAAAGATCGTAAAATGGGTCAAAACTCACTGAACAGCTGTCTCCCTTAGCAACAGAAATGTTGGGCCCAATTGTGGCCGTAAGTCGAGAACCACCTGTACTTGGCAATAGAATCGTCTTTTTTCCTATTGTGGAAAATAGATAATCCGCTTAGCTATAAACCATATTTTTTTTACTAGAAATATAATTCAAGTCCTTTTGGAGAACAAGAGCGAATTGGTCGTGTATTTAGAAGCAACAGCCAATAAAACCAGTGAACCGCTTTAGCGAAAGAATGTGTTTGTTGCGTGCATATTTCTTTTAACAGGTTTTTTTTGCATCTGTATTGATTAATAATGCTTAAATATTATTCCCTGATAGCAAAATTGCCTGCTTACTTACCTACCTACTTACCTATCTTCTCTCTCTCCCCCTCTCTCCCTCCCTCCGTCTCTCTCTCTTTCTCTTTCTCTCACTCTCTTTCCCTTCTTTCTTTTCTCTCTCTCTCTTTCTCTTTCGCTCTCTTTCGCTCTTTCTTTTTCTCTCCCTCCCTCCCCCTCTGTCCCTCTCTCTTACTCTTTCTCTTGCTCTCACTCTCTTTCGCTCTTTCTCTTTCTCTCTCTCCCTCTCCCTATCTCCCTCCCTCTCTCTCTCTCTCTCTCTCTCTCTCTCTTTCTTTCACTCTCTTTTGCTCTTTCTTTTGCTTTTTCTTTTTCTCCCTCCCTTCCCCTCTCTGTCCCTTTCTCAGTCCTGCTCTCTTTCTCTTTCTCTCACTCTCTTTCGCTCTTTATCTTTCTTTCTCTCCCTCTCCCTATCTCCCTCTTTCTCTCTCTCTCATTCTCTCTCTTTCTCTCTCTCTCTTTCTTTCGCTCTTTCTCTTTCTCTCTTCCCCTCTCTGTCCCTCTCTCTCTGTCCCTCTCTCTTTCTCTTTCTCTTTCTCTCTTTCGCTCTTTCTCTCTCCCTCTTCCTATCTCTCTCTCTCTCTCCCTTCCTTCCTTCCTTCCTCCCTCCCTCCCTCCCTCTCCCCCCTCTCTCTCTTTCTCTCCCTCTCTCCCTCCCTAACCCCCCCCTCTCTGTCTTTTTGGCCATCCAGTATTTTTTCCTTCTGGACGGAATACGAATATAAAACTATAGCTAATTCATTTTGGCATCTCAAAATTTTGAGTCTGAATCTCAAAACGATTCCAA